CCTTTAATGGCAAGAACACAGAAGATTTTACCCTTTTCAGGAATTTAAAAGTAGGTGATCGATTTGGTTGTTTATGTTCTTTCTTTAAGCTCCGGTTTTTGGGCCTTTAAAAGGATTGTGAAATGATCAATCAAGGCCATGCAGACTACCATTGTTCACAAGGTGTTGTTGACGCGCTCGCCTGAATGCTTGTTTACTCCAAAATTGGACAAATTTCGTGCATTATTAGCCGGCCAATAAAAGTATTGGAACTAGTGAACAAAATTGAACCTCCATCAGAGGATTTAAATGAACTAAGCTCACCTGAGTCATCTTCTAACTAATCTGAATAGAAGCGTCTGTGGCATTGTCCGCTCTGAATAAAGCTACAGCGTACTAAAAAAAATATGAAAAAAACGAAAAATATGTCAGCCAATCGAATGTGTTTTCTTTTTCTATAAAAGGCCTGGAATTGTTTTTTCATGTGCCAGAAAATAAGAATTAAAATGAAAGCTGCGTCATATTAAAATGAAAACCGCTTCATATAAAATAAAAGCCGCATAATACCAATTTGATTGTCAGTTTCTGGGGCTTTTGCTCATTTGTTTATTAATTAATCACTTCGTTAAACCTGCCCAGCCAGTGCATTATATTGACAATGGTTCATAATTGCAAATAAATAAATTAATAAATAAAATTTGGGATGAGAAAGCAGAACTTTGAAGCAATTGTCCAAAGAAAATTTAAGAGTATAAAAGTAAAATTTGCTCGTCACTTAAATCATATCGAATTTTTACATTGCCACAATTCACAATATAAGAAGAGAATAGACGATGTTGCCGTAATTGTAGACGAATGTCATATTGAATGAGCCTGTTTATAAGTACTTAATTCTAATTGAATCACGAGAGTGAGAAGGAATCCTTATGAAAAAAACGCAACCTAAATGTTTAATAATCAATGTGATGTGTGAGTTCCACGGTACATGAATTGTGCAACTCGTAGGAAACTTTTCATTTTAATATAAAATTTTGTGTAGAGTTGTAATAATAATTTAAAAATAAAGACAATAATATTTTAAACAATAAATATGATGCTGCACCGACTTGTTATTCAGAACTTAAGTCGGTTAAAACCACGAAACAATATTATTGGAACAAATGTACTGTCGATGGAATAAATGGGTGAAAAATACTACTAATCTAAAGCTGGATTAGAATATTATTCCTTCGGATGGTCTAAAAGATCGTATATGCTGCGAAAAGATGCAAATACTTCGGTGCCATACCATGCACGCAAACATCTTCCTCTATCTAGCTGTTGTCTGAGGGGAGAGAACACCGCGCTTCTTCCGTCGCTTGTATCTGCAACAACGTAACCTACGGGAGTTTTTGGCCGATGCATAGCAAAGAGGGAGACACTGCGTGTGATGAGAAAAGAAATCCAATCTGTGTTTCAATTTTATTGAAGTACAAGCCCAGTCTCCTTGCCGATGATTTTGCATGGAGGGAAGCCGCGCGATTTTTCGTTGTTTTGCAGCTAGGAGACTGCGACTGAATTTCTAAGAGATGAAAGGAATTATGGATTGTTAGGATGCCTTACTCGATCGTACGTAAATTGCTGGCGAGCCCGAATTCACGTCGAATGATATTAAAATACGAATTTTCTTTCGAATATCAAACATGACCTTAGTAAGCAGCCGGCTATTTTTTTGAGATCATATTTAATTTAGAAGAGTTTTTTAAACGATACGTTTATCGTCCCAGAGGGAAGATCGAATTTTTTATAATCTGGAAAAAGTAACCGCGTCACCTGAACTGTCTACTGTAATAATCACATAAAAGTTATCATTTAGCGACAATGAAAATATCAGAAGAAAATTACGGGATAAAACTACACAGAAACTTTCATATTAAGAGACAACTGGCAATAAAAGACCCTAGAGAAGTTCGTTAAATGCACCCAAAACAGATCATTGAGCGGAAATGTAGGACGCGCACGGCGCTAGCGAACTGAATAAGGTTGAACGGTCAATCTAAATCAGCAGATTTGTCAGATTTGGTCGACCTCGCAACTTCGAGGCGAATTTCTTCCAGGAAATCTCAAAGACAAAAATTGAGACGTCGAATTTTAGAGATAAAGGAGAACTCGATTTCAGGGATGACGAACCTCCAACTCCAAAAGGTTCTTGCTCACTAAATAAAAAATTTCACTAAATTGTTTCACTTGCGTATAGTTTTCATGTTTAAATCAATTTCGTATATGAGCGCAAAAACAGTTTCGCTAATCCATTTCTTTTCTGAATTAAATTTTCAGAAAGAAAAAAAACAATAATGGAAAGTTCATGCTAAATTATTTTGTTACTCAAAATTATTCAACAAATCAAAAACATAAAGTCAAATTTTTCTGTTCAATGTAATACAGGTAAATATAATAGGAACTGGATCTGTTCGGTCGTCCATTTTCTACAGCTTGTACCCGGCTGCCCTCTCGCCTGCCCTGCAGCGACCCAAGCTCCAGGAGCGAGCCGAGGTTCGCTCGGCCGCCGCTTCGAGACGCTAGCTGTCGGCTACACGGAACAATGATGGAAATATTGGAAGTTAGGCTATGTTTAATGAACGATAATGTTGCTATTTTATCCCCGGATCGAAATGTTTGAAATTAGGCTATGTTCAATGAATGATAATGTTCCTATTTTATTCCCGGATGGAAATGTTTGAAGTTAGGCTATGTTCAATGAATGATAATGTTGCTATTTTATCCCCGGATCGAAATGTTTGAAGTTAGGCTATGTTTAATGAACGATAATGTTCCTATTTCATCCCCGGATCGAAATGTTGGAAGTTAGGCAATGTTTAATGAACGATTATGTTCCTATTTTATTCCCGGATCGAAATGTTTGAAGTTAGGTAATGTTTAGTGAACGATAATGTTACTATTTTGTCAGACATAACGCGTTATTGCTGCTATTATGGTTGCTATAAAATAGTTACTTATGTTTTCATGTAAAACGCGCGTTATTGCAGCCATCAAACATAGGTACGAAAGGTCATTAAAAAATTGTTATCTGTGTTATAATATATAACGCATTAATGCAGCTATCAAGCTTAATTAGTAGCCATTAACACGTTGACACCGACTGCTTCATATACTAGAACTATTATTTCATTTTTTTTACAATATTATGAATTTAATATTTATCACTACGTCCTGGAGAAATTCACACCGTGGTACGCATATATGTACCACTTCGGAGTCAACTTGTAAGAGGCTTTAAAAAGTGGCAACTATGTTATATAGTTTAAAACGCGTTAGTGCAGCACTGAAATTTCGGCAGGCATTACAAATATCATTGAAAGAGGTTGCATATGTCATCGTGTAGAACGCGTTATTGCATTTATGAAGTTTTGGTTTGTGTTGAAAATAGTTGAAAGTGTTTCATAACGCTTGTGGCTCGCTATAGATAGTATAGTAAAATAGCTCGTTATATAAAATTTCTAACCTTCGCTTCTCTACACCTACAGATAGCGTAGAAAGAATTTCAACTTGAAATCCAGTGAATTACAAACGAAAAAAAAATTTAAATGTAGAGAAAGTCAAAAGAATCTATCTTTTCTACCGAATTATTGAAAATTATGGGAAATGTAATGAAGTTATAGTCGAACTATGAAGCCTACTTCAAGCAGCAGTTCTTTTAACAAGGAGCTACTCTCCTCGCTGCAGAATATTAGGATAGTAAGTGTCAATGAATTTATTGCATATAATGTATCATAAAGTTATTATAATTAATATATTTAAGATGACTGATCATTCGAAAACATACCGAATGAAATATATTTAAGATGACTGATCATTCGAAAACATACCGAATGAAATATATTTAAGATGACTGATCATTAAAAAATGCACTGATGATAAATCTGAATCTGACATAAAAGTTATTAAACCGAATTAATTAAGCCGCGACAAAACATGCATTCAATAAACGCCCATCACAGCATACGTGATAAAATAATGACATTAGTCAATGAGATCCGAGAGCTCCAAGAGCAGGAGGACAAGCATTAGTATATTCTTATTGCATACAGTAATATATATAAAATTCCAAGATATCATACACATAATTTGTCTGCAGAAAAATGTAAATATAATCTACCAATTTCCCTTCACAAATCATACAATAATTATAAAAATCCCGCTCCACTCTGCCATTGATGACAAATCGTGTCTGTGCGTGATAGTGATATGATTAAATAATAATTAATGCAGTTTAAAATATGATCTTCATCCTTCCGTGGAAGGAACGAAAATTCATGAATTTGTTCAGTTGAAGCTGAGTGCCGTATATACTGATTGTCGGAGCTAAATTTCCTAATATTAACTCGAGAAAACACTTCATACGATCCATTTAGTCGGAGTCAACTTGAGTGCTAGTTTTTTGCCCGATGTTAGGCATATAGGTTAAATAAATCGTATTGCAACCAATTTAAATCAGTCATTTTCCAATGTAAAGTTATCCGAAATGAATATTAACTAACGTACGGATAACTTTAAATTTGATAACTTTAAATTTGAACTAACGTGGATTACCAATAAACTTTTGTAATATATGGTGGGAAAATTGCTATTCAATAGTGCCGCAAAGTTCACCCTGCATATTAAGCTATAAATCGAACGCCATCCATCCCAGTGACCAGTCGTAAAAATCCACTTAGCGCAAATTAGCAGAGCTACGGGGCCTGGAGGCTGAGTTAGTCCTTTGTTGAGCGTGGGGCATGAACGCCGGGATGGAAATTAGCATAAAACGCCCGCGGGCACACACGCGACGACGACTTACGAACGCCCAGCGTTGTTGCAGTCCAAACCCATACGTCACGCCGCTATAATGTTCGAACCTGCGAAAAAGGCGGAGCTTAAACTGACCCGAGGAGTAAGCCAGCCGCAGCCAGTTCAGCCAGCCAAGCCAGCAGCGTTGGTAAGCCGTAAGGGTAAGCGAACAGCCAGTCTTTCGGTTCCATACCATCAGTACTTGTTGGAGCCTTGCACGGTATGGTTCTCGCAGCTCCTTGTCCCGGGAAGGTCAGGCCTCAGCGATCGTACAGATTTTTTGGTCTATGAGGCTATCCTGGATTCCTTAGAAACCAACGAACCGTGATAACGAAAATCGCTGAAACGCAGCGACTTACCAGAGTGCAGCGTTTAAAATCTTGTGTTAATTCAGTGACTTATAATTATCTTATGAAATCACGAATTTCATATTATAATAAACTTCGAATAATTTTTCTTTACATTAAAGTTCTGCTGACAATAACAGTGAACTCATAGTTATTATTGGTGATGATTTATCTGTCATTATAACAACAGTAACGAAGTGCCGACAAAATGTTTCACGAGAAAACCTCTAAAAACATCAGGCCGCAAGGGTCGCGAGAAAGTTCCTTGTGTTCCAAACATAAAATCCGCGAGGATTTCAAAAGACCGATTGTGTTCCTGTTGGTGGTGCTTCTTTTGAGCTTTCTGGCGGGGATTCCAGGCACAACGGCGCAGGATTTAAAACTCGTCGACAACGGATACGAAGGATTGATGGTCGCCATCGATGAGGGCATCCCTCAGGAACAATGCAAGAGGATATTGCACGGCCTCAAGGTAACTATTTCATTTTATTCGTTTGATTGCTTCAATTTATTTGTTTCATAATGCATGTAATATGTTACTGTACATAAACACGATCGACGTTATGCCACGTACTGTTTGAGTAGAAATTTAAACATGTCCATTAATTTTACATGTTACTTTTTTCTCACCAAATTTATTTCATGCACCTGAATTATATAAATAAATGCACGGTGACTTTTGCCGATCATGCAAAAATTACCATTAACTTGGACTAAATTTCGGTCAACTCCCCTGTGAATCGCCTTAAGAACCGCATAATTTTACCATTAATGCTGGCAGATGACATGTGCGAAGAGAAAGAATTTATTACCGCATTATACAATTTTTTTCTGAATGGGAGCAAAAACATTCGTTTCCAAAGCAGCTAAATGGAAAAATGCAGTATTTCATCTGCTGGAATGAACCATCATTGTGTACACGTCAATAGGTCCCCTAGTCAGAAAATTTATGGTTACTATCGAAATTTTCAACTAATTCGGGACTTAGGACGTTACAACGAGACCATCGCATGTGGCTTGCCGCTCTCCGTGCGTCTCGGTGCTCTTATTGCTGCGTTATTTCACAGCTGTTGATTCTTTGTTATTTTATGAATGCTGTTTTTTATATGTTAATAGCTTGTTGTTGATTAATTGCTGGTTACATCATTACCTTTTTCTTAGCTCATTTTCCTTTACTGGTCGTTTACTTTGTCACATATGAGCGTTCGGTGGGAAAATACGTTACACCAGATTCGGTATAATTTTGACAAACATCGTGATAATTTAATGATGTTACATATGTAATGAAGAGTAAATCTAACTCATTTTATATTTTTTTGCCATTTAATTTTCTGAATGTAAAAGATAAACAAATATTGTAGAAGGTCCACACATATTATTACTCATTATGTTGAATAACGAGCAGTTTTTGTTATGAAGTGTACCATCTTGAGTTAATTTTTCGTTGGTATGTTTTCCACTGAAGCAAATAATTGCTATGCTATGATTTTAGTTCGATAGATAGTTAAAGTAATGCTGGTTTTTGCCAGCTGCTAGCGAGTTGGCGCCTGGCTTAGGCTAACTCTTTTCAAAAGGATATAAAGTACTTAAGATTTTACAGCGGTTTGGGCGACTGTCTGCAATAATAACATTTCTGTGTCGTGAAATTCTATCTCAGTAGGACAATGCAAGGCTGTTTTCAAGTAGATGTCGGTATTACTGCCTTTTTTGTCATTCGGAAAAAGTCAAATATTTGCATAAAAAGTTGCAAACCGATAATAATGAATTATTGTAGCTAAATATCAATTAATCAAGTACAAAACACATATTAAAAAGTTTGATAAGCCGCATATAGTTCACGCGAGAATTCCGAGAAGCAAGCGAGCGAACGCTATTCCTATGTATAAATTAAATTCAATTTCAAAGGCCATAAAATTTGCTTCAGAAATTATCCGCACGGCAAGTACAGCGCTGAGAGGAGCACAGCGTTACCTTGATTCTATTATAGCAGTTTCCGGCGAGCGTATGATTAATTGTACTAGGAATCTGTGGAGGAAATAGCATGTTCAACAACTGTTCCATATCCCAGGGTCGCGCGCGCAAGCTTGTAGTCTACGGATTTCGCTCATACATTTCAAAGCTCTGCAATTCTCGGCTAGAGTTGGGAACGCTAAGTAATGCGAATGATTCATGCAAATAGTTTCTGTGGTTTATTTTGCATGTGCGTCACAAAGGCGCTCCCCTCGAGAAATTCGTAGCTTTTGTACAGCAGTGTTCCTCTGACATAAGATATCAGTGCATTAGAATAAATTTACAAGCGTCATCAACACAAGCATAACTAATTTTGTCCCGTAAAAGCTCATGAGGATTATTTGAGACCTTTTCAGTGATAAATAAAAAGAAATTTATTGACAGTATTATTGTACTATAATTTATGCATAACAAATTAGAACATTATTTCATAAACGCCTACAAAGTCGTTTCCAAAAAGTTGGATTCGTTTTCCAAAAGTTCCCAATTCCCCAAATAAAAATGTTATCCATTCTACTTCATCTTTTCCGACAACATTCGCTCGACAGTCAAGTGCGCAAGCAATAGTTTTCCTTTTATTTTGTGCCCCGCACATCCTGTTTCTGGCTGCACAACATTCCCTTGTTGTGTACGTCATTTATCGTTTCTTGCTAATGGACGGACGAGTGACAGGACTTTACGACGGTTCTGGCCGTGCACGGGGGAAGCCATTCCCAGGATTTACTTCATTTAACAGGTGCGCTAGGAAGTCGGAATTATTTAGTACAAAGTAAGTGAGCTGGACATGTGATGCAGCTTAGACTCCATGAAAGATTATTCTAAAGTATACACGAGTATGAAAATGACTTTCAAGCTCGAAAATCACTTTACTGGATTCTTTCTTTACTTACTTACTGCAACGCTATGTCATTTTTTATTATTATGTTATTTATTTTATCATTATTACTATTATTATTATGTTATTTATTTTCAACGGGATGCCGATCATCCCGTTGATTCCCGACAATGAAGATCATGACGACCTCAGGAGCTTATACGTTTGTTTATTTATATCCTGCCAATTTGCTTGATGAGGAGGTATGGTTTTATGACCTTTGGCAAGAAATTCCTTCAAATTTAATTACTCAGTTCAATCACGCATATGATGTTTATAATTCAAGCGTGCGTAACTCAAATGAGTTCCCTGTACTAATGTACATCCACGCTGTTTACACAGTATTGCTGGTACGGTAGAGTCCATGCGCTCTGTAAATAAACGCTTAGCGATCTACTGCATCAGGGAGCTTGTGCAAACATTCACAGATGAAATAAATTTTATTCGTAAATGGTTTTCACTTATCGCTGTAAGAGTGCTTTATAGCGAGATTATCATATGTTTTAGTAAATGCACTCGTAACTCGCAAAAAGATGTCCGTTGGGCACCACAATTCCTCTTCCATATATGCCCTAAAAAATCTTATCTCTGAGAACAAATGCGAATTATGCAAGGAAAGAGAAATTCCAATTCGGCAACAAAAAATAATAACCAAGGATCTAATAAAACAGTAATAATCGTGGCAGTTCTCACAGGTTTGGTGGTTCTGATTTGCTCAATAATAAAGAGCATGAAACCGCGGATCTGTGGCTGAGGCAGTCATGTGTAGTGGTGGGTTGCTGTCGCGCCGCCGGCGAGGGGGTACCCATTTAAAAGGAAACAGGCGTCGCCGACACCTTCCTGTCCTGGAGGCCTAACAAAGCTAATAAAAAATAATAACAAAACGGATTATTTGTAGCCAATTGATAAAAAATAACAAAAAACGGTTTATTTTTAGCCAATGATAAAAAATAATAACAAAACGGATTATTTGTAACCAATTGATAGAAAAATAACAACAAAACGGATTATTTGTAACAAATTGATAAAAATTAACAACAAAACGGATTATTTGTAGCCAATTGAAAAAAATAACAACAAAATGGATTATTTGTTACAATTACTAAAAAAATAACAACAAAACGGATTATTTGTTACCAATTACTAGAAAAATGACAACAAAACGGATTATTTGAAACCAATTGATTAAAAATAACAACAACACGGATTATTTGTTACCAATTACTAGAAAAATAACAACAAAATAGATCATTTGTAACCAATTCTGGTGATAACGCGTTCATGCGAAGGACTGTTTTTTATACAATTTAGGATATTTTTTTTAGCGATTGATACAATTCAGAGGATCTGGCACTCAACTATAAAACCGTTTTTTTAACAGCGACGGTATAATTTTTTATAGATGGAACAGAATAAACAATGGGTTAGTTTTGATATTTCAGGGATGGGTAGGCTGAAGAGCATTGCTTCAAATTTATTTGCTCGAAGATAGGCACGCATTCGGCAACATGAAATGTGTTTGAACCACCAATGATTTATATAAATGTCGAAATATGGCTTCAATATAACGATGACTTATGATAATATTCATGTAATGATACGCGTAAAAAGATAAGTTCCACGAGTAGCCGAGCTTTCTTTACCACAAAAAAGTGGATATCGATAATTCAGTTGACCGTGAGTGTTATACAAACTAAATCTGGCCTTAATTATTACATAGTTTCAATGCCTATAAAGATAAGCTTTTCTAAAGAGCATTAGTTGATTTTATTTTTTTCCCCGAGCTGTTAATTTCGTAAAAACAGTTTACGAAATAAAGAAAAATTTACTTGATCGACACTAAGACGAAAAAAATGCCACGAAATAGTCTTTTACGTCATACATGTCTAATCAAGCACGTAGTGTTGTACTGTAATTCTATAATTAATTATATTTTTAAATGCTTTCACAATCTCGAAATTATGTCGAGTGGTTACAATCTTGAGCAACTGTCGTGAATGTGAATGATTCATTTTTATTTTATAAAACGGGAATTCTTGTACCATTTTTCTCAAATTGATAATCAGCGCAAAAGATTTAATTGAATATTTATCGTTACGAGGAACGATTCAATTTGTATTAAGGAGGCCACTGCAGGATCGAAACAAAAACGATTCAGATTTTCATTTCCATGTCAGCGGCAAATTCAATAACCGCGTTCTAATTTCTCCCTAAAAAATGAAAGAATCATTGTCCAAGTAGCGAGGCACTTTTTGCGCTTGTGCGGGTTATCTTTGCCCAGTTTAGCACGGAAAATGGGTGTATCAGCTCTACGTGGGCAAAGTCCATCACTATTTGGACAACATGATCAGTTAATTTTCTGAGTGTGAAGGGTCTAAGGTGTTAGGTAAAATGCTACAACAGATGAAGACATTGTTGCTGGCCACTAAAAACAATCATAAATGATGGCACAATCCGAGGATATAATTAACGACTGCGGTGCCTCGGGACTTTGAATTATTACGATTGTCCCGCTTAGCATCGCGCGCGATGAATCCCGAGATTAATGGGCCCTCGCAAAACGCCCAAGGTATATCTTGCAAATCCAC